AAAGTTTCACAGTCAACCGTAAAGTTCATCCCATCTTCGTCTTGAGCCAACGGATCGTCTAGCATCTCAAATATTTCTGTCGGATTTTAGTCGTGAGAATGGAAGTCAAGTTTCTAAGAGGCGATAAAAAGACAGCCTGGTATGTGAAGTACTCGTGAGAGCTTTATTAATATTTGGGTAAATTGTACCATTTTTATTCTACTAGATGACAACTGAATACCTTAAGTTTTGTATGCTGACGAAAAACGATAAAACACGGTGAGTTTTAATAACATTTCTTTAAGATATTCTTAAGAAATAGATTTACACAGTTGTTGAGTCTGGTCTAATAAAATAATTTTTCTAAAAATTGTGTGCAAATTTTGAACCTGGAGCAGAACAGTGCTTTTCTACTCTGACCCAAAGTAAACAATTTATTTTAGCGATATCGATAAGCCTGGATGATAAATTGCAATGTGAAGTTATAATTCAGTGTAGACGTTATTTGAGAATAAATTTCATTCTCCAGTCGAAATGTGGACATTTTCTTAAATATGGTTTTTCACAAAATCAGAGTGTTTAAATTTGTTCGGACTTAAAGGGTCATGTTCAAATCAATAAACTTGCAGGATATTCTAAATGCTGTTGAATGATTCAAATTTTTCATCCATTTTATCTCCATTCAGATTGAATAAAAAATAAATGAACTGCAGAAGTATCTGCAGAACCTTCCCATCTTTGATCTTTGATTTTCAACCTCTGGTTCAGTGATTATGAACTGCTGAATCGTTGGGTTTCAGCCTCTGAATCGTTCAGATTCAGGAAGGTTGATTCTCAGTCTCTGGATCACAGATTTTGAGCCTCTGAATCATCAGTTTTCAGTCTCTGGATCACTTATTTTTGAGTTGTTCTTAAGCAAGTGGATGACAGAACGTAGTCTGGGGGAGGCGGCAGAGGGACAGAACTTGTTGAGAGCTGAAACGGATAGACGGATGTGGAGGGCCATGATCGCCTACGTCCTGAAAGGATACGGCATATAAAAAGAAAGAAGAATTTTTATTTTAAGGATCACAGATTTTGAGTCTCTGAATCATCAATTTTCAATCTATGGATCACTGATTTTAAGATTCTGGATCGTTTATTTTCACCACATGGAACATTGATGGTTCGCTGTTTTCCGCCTATGGATCATTGTCAGTTCTTGAATCATTGATTTTTGGAGTTTGGATAAATGATTTTCGGCCTGTCGTCAATAATTTTCATCTTGATCACTGATTTTCAGCCTCGTATCTGATAGATTGTTAGTAAAAACCGATTAAATTACTTTGTGTTTTTTCCTTTCGTTCGTTTTATATTTAACGTTAAATGATCATTTCTCTCACTGAAGATGACACAACAACTGATTTTCCTTGAAGCAATTTGCCCTCTCTAAACAAATACGTCAATAACTTTGATTTGTTGAATTCTCATAGAGGCATTGTCATTTGGTGTGATATCACACCAGCTAAGCTAGAACAACTCGGTAAACATTGACGTTTTTTTTTTTTTTATCTGTTTCACCCCATGTAAAGTAGTAAAACTACTAAGACACAAGGGGGTTACATGGTGTAGAAGAATTAGGAACAGAAATATTAATAATGAGTGGGAAGACGAAAGAGTAATCAGGAGGACAGTAGATAGCGATCGACATGACATTTAAATGTTTGCAAATTAAAGTTGGCTGGAAAGCACAGAGCCGGAAGAAAGTTCCACAAGCAAGAAGTGCTGGAAAAGAAACTGTTAGCATAGGTTACATTTAGCCAGCTCGCCTATAAATTGATGAGATCTCGACGCCAGTCTAATTCTGCACTAAAATTCAAAAAGTCTAGGTACCATAGCGAAGAGCTCATCTAAACAATTACCATGAAAGTATTTATTGAAAAAGCACAGAGAGGTAACCTTATGGCGGTAGGAAAGTAACTGAAGCCGAGCTGCCAGATCAGGACCAATAATATAGAGTATAGGTCTATTGAATTGCTTCTACCAAAGCAAATCTCAGGAGAAATATTGTTGGTTTTTGTTTTAATCACAAAGGATAAATATTAAAAACGATATATGATAATTTAATAATGAAATAAATGAAATTTAATAATGAAATAAATAAAATTAAATTGGATCACATCCGATTTGTTGACGAACATAGATACTCTTAACAAATGACTCAGCTTTTATGCTATGTGTCGTTTCTCATCGGGACATGGGAGATAATGGCTTTCCACAACTTCCTATCGTTTGTAGCTCTTAGCAATGTTAGCCTTTTTATTAAAAAAATGAAACAGACCTGCCAGTCCTTGTTCTGCCATTTACTTACACAAGTTCGTTACGTCGGTTAGACGCTGTTTGCTTCGCTCCTTCTTGCCGTCCATCTGTCCTGTAAGTGTTAAATTTTCCAAGACATCTTTCCTCATTATGTGTATCAGAAATTGTAATTGTCGCTTTCTCATTGTAAGTGTTCTTTTTTTATTCCCACTTCTTTTTAGAAAAGTTTGTCATACTCATGTATTTTGCTATGACATTTGAAAAAATTAAAAAAAAAAAAAAAAAGGAAAGAAAATGTTTTGCGCTTTTCCTAAGAGAATTTGAATTTACGTCATTTAATTTTTTTCCATTTGTGATAATTTTAGTGTTTTCAGCTGTTTGTTGTAGATTTGATATTTTTATCATAACAGTTTATTATTATTTTTGTTTATTGTTGAAGTTTATTAGTTTTTTTTTCTGTTGATTCACCCCAAAATAAAAGAATTTATATTTACTAAAATTCACACCATATTCGTCCAGAGTGAGGCCCTTCCATTTCACTTGGGTTGGGTTGACTTTTGCGATCGCCCCAAATGTGGGCGACTCGGGTGTGCTATTTCTATGTGTGAGGGTCTACATACACGCTCACCTCAAGTCAAAAACAGATTTTCTTTTTTTTTTTTTTTTGAAATTGTAAAATATTCCTATAAGTACGTCGAATATCATCCACACTTATTCCCTGATTTTTGGTAATTTTTCATTCTGAGGGTTGAAATTAGGGCGAGGCAAGCTAAACAAACTTTGATTTAAAATTTATAATTTCTTGGGGTGAATTAATATTTGCGATAAGTAACTTTACATTATTTGGTGTGAATTAACAGAAAAGATCCGTTTATTGCTTTAATCGATTAATGGGATTTTCTTTTCATCCCATTCTGACCAGCATTTCTAAGGCTCAGATAAGATTTGTTTATGTGTGCAGTTTGTTCTACTCAGCAGTTATACTTTTTTGTCCTATTTCAAAATCAGTTTTTTTCCTTACACATATTTGCTGACAAATAGCATAACTGAATTTTACACTATATTCTGAAAATTACGCACATATATTTTATCAGGTTTCAAGAATGGTGTTGAAAACATGGCAGGTTTTTACGAGCTCAAATAAGTGTAACTTCAAAATAAAAGAAGTATAACTACTTTGTCAGTAATCTTTGAATGAATTCCTGCCCATTGACAATCTTTTTTACCCGAGTTGCAACGCACAAGATTAGGTTTTGATTTTTATTAAATTAATTTTAGATTATAAAAGAAATGCAAAACTGGGTTTTGTTTCTAGAACGTTCCCTTAAATCACCAGGAATATTTAGTTTGCTAGTTCAGAAATGACTAAGGATAAGCTAGAAAATAAAGAAATAACGGTGGACAATAAGAAAAGCCGAATATACTGGATTCAAATTCGGTCGGTGCATTTTCGTATTCTATCATCAGAACTTGCTGATAAATATATATATATATATATATTTGGTTGGATAGATGTGAGTTTGTGACCCTGGGTTTCACGCTTTATATATATATATATACACACTTAAGAATGAGACAACCTTAAGGTTCCATGACTATAATTTATTTTCACAGAAAATATACTTTTAATAGTTCACCAGGTTACATCCCATATCTCACAAACATATATATATATTCTGTTTATACGTTATTTTTATAAACACAAATATCTAAGTAAATGGAAATGCTCTGTTTGTAAGAAACACTATTAACAACATTTACCGGCCTAAATGTCCGAAAAATGTCATAAAATATGTGTCCTATGACAGGAATCGAACCTGTATCCTACACGGAACCGTCATATAGCCTGACGTGTTATACCATTAAGCTACAGGGGAAGTAATTTAACCTTGCTATCATTGCTGTAGTGGACAGAGTTATTGCTGGGGGGAGTGGGTCCATCTACGAAACTGTAGAGTCGGGAGAACATCATAATAATAATGATAATGATAATTATATATATATATATATATATATATATATTAGCGAATAATATCCAACGTCGATAGCACGACTCGGAGTTTCATGCGGTCTTGCAATCTTCATGTGCTAAGTATATTCTGATCGTTATACTTAATAGCTTTGTTATATAACATTGAACACTAGTTATAACACCTGCGAAAGAAATATATTTATATATTATATATATAAGTATATGTGCGTATATTTTTTTATCATATCCATACCTATATATATCTGTGTGTGTGTGTGCGCTTGTGTGTATTTTTCAGTGCACCCACATCGCAACCGAATGTGGCAGAAAGTCACGTGTGTGTGCATGTTTGTGTGGGTAGTGTAAATGATAGGGGCTCTGGATGAGAAATCAGAGTGCAGAGTTCGAATTTCAGTCGTGTTCGTTGCATTCACCTATGTGGAAATACCGATGGAAAATGTATGAAGACATCACTTCCTCCCAGCTATGGGTTAAATAGTAGGACTTGTATCTGGAAAAATCATTGTTATTCTAAAAATTGTTAACGAATTATTCACTCAAAAATAAAAAATTATTCTTGCAATCCCAAATATGTTTCGGCTTTAAATGACCTGCAGAAAAAGTTGTTAAACCATAAAAAACAAATCAATCAATTTACCCAAGGCCCAAGAAGGGCCACTCCCCACTCATCTCAGATGAATGAATTGTACAACGAAAGAAGGTTTTAAATTACGAGACGTGGTATTTTGGGGTTCCCGGTTGAGTAATCCAATAAAAAAAAATCAATTACTGTAAATAAATGTAATTGATTCTTTATTTGCCCCTTTGTCGAGACTTAATTAAACTAAGGATGCAAAAGACATTCATTTTAAAATAAACCTTTGTAAAACGGTGTCTTGCCCCATTTTTGTCGTTTCTTTCTCTCATACATAACAGATCCCGTTTCTTCTTTTTTTCTTTTTTTACCTCGTCATTCTTGTTAAATTCGGATTTTCCCTTAAGTTTTGTCTCTTTTCATTGGTTCTGTCTGTTATCAATAAATTTGGAAGTCCTAGCGTCATTCATTCATTCATTCTTTCTTTCAATCATTCATTCATTACCGTTCATTTTTTCATTCATCTATTTCTTATTCTACGACACTCGTGCTGATCTTTTCTTACCCCTGTTATTTTTTCATTCATTCAATAATCGTTCTTTCTTTCGTGTCTTAAAGAAATTTCATTCGGTTCAACTTCAATACAAAGAAAAAAGTAGCGAAAAAAAACCCCCCAAAACAAGATTATTATTACAATCAGTGGAGGACGTAAAGTTGTGACAATTATTTTTCCACGTTCGTTAGAAATTGGTTTTAGGCAATTGAGATGTTTAGAAAGTGAGAATTAACGAGTCACGACATTCGAATCCAATGTCACTTTCATTTCCATTATTAATTCTATTTTTATTGTTGATAAATAAAAATAGCTCTGCTACTCTAATTGCTTGAAATATGCAGACGACGTTATTAATGGAAAGTGGAAACAGACACGTGACTTGGATGTGACACAAGGCCGAAAGTATGGAGAAAATATTGTCAATTATTCTACTTTACAACAGGTTAGAGATGCGTCGAAAACGTCTTGTGAATCTGATTTAAAAGTTATGTTTGTCTCAAAAATCAAAACACACACACACACACACACGGGAAAGTTATGGAAGAATTTTTAAAATGTTATTTAAGAAAGATAAAATTTTGCAGAATTTGTTAACTAGGTTTCTAAATTTGGACCGTAACTAACTGGTATTATTTTGTAACCAGTAACACATTTATTGTGACAATCAATGTTATCATGTTTGTCATCCACCTTGCTACTTGCCTTGGAAATTCTAAGCATTGTAAATTTTATTTTATTATATATTTGGGGGAGTGTTGGGGCGGGGGTGGAGCAAAGCAACCTGTAGTGTAAGTTTAATCAGCACTAACTAAAAAAAAAAACTCCGACTTCTTTCGACAACTTTTCTCCTTTTGGCAGTCAATTATTCTCCCCTTAATTACAACCAAAACAGTCGTAAAAGTTTGATGGAAAAAGAATTTACAGCATAGAATTAGCATTAAATAATAATAATTATTATTATTCGTCATAAAAAAAATATGACTAAATTTATTTTCCTGGTTATGTCTCAAAATTATTTAACTTAAAAATATTTCAACAACACTCTTGAGAGTGAAAGACACGTGATGAAAGACCTAACAGTTATTTTTATTGCAATTCGTGAATCGCAAAAAGATAAAACAATGTCTCTAAGTAAGTGTATATACGGCAAACAGTGGAAAGCCATGTTTCTTCAAGATGCCCATGTAAAAAAAAAAAAATGACGCGACGTTTTAACGGGCTGAGCAGTGTACACCATTTTTAGTTTTGACTTCCTTTGTGTGTGGAAAGAGAAAGAACGTAGACGTTTTTAGTAATAAAAAAAGGGTGTACGAGTAATTGAGTAACATAGTTCAAACATATCGCCATATCTGAAAGAACAATGTGTGTGTCAAGAGCGATTTGTTCTCCCTGGTAGTCGGGTCACTGACCACTAAATTGTAGCAGCAGTAATAGTGAACCAGTGAAAATACTAACTACGACGACATTTTCAAAGTCGGCACACACACACAGACACACACGTACACACACCGAGACAGACAGACAGAGACTTTTTTTTTGTAGATTTAGAAAACTTCCAATTTTTTTGACAGTGAATAACTTATGAACAAATTTTTAAAACCGAAAAAGTGTGGATTAATCACAGACAGCGATGAAAATCTCTCATAAAGACAGAGATTATTTGATTACGTGTTAGAATTTCAGAGGAAGAAAGAATTATTTATTAAGCTGAGAGAAGTCGAGAGAAATAAGAAGACACAAAAAAGTGAAGATCGAAAAATGTTCAAAGGTTTTCTTTTTTTTATACTATACACTATCAAATAAGGCCTGAGAGACTCGCTAGCTAGCTACCTGTCGCTTTACGGCAGACTCCCATATTTTCTGAATAATACCAACGTAACATATTTTTAAAAAAATGAAAACCGAATTTTTGTCTATGCACAACTTTCATTAAGTAGAAATAATTTGAAAGCGTGTTGTGTTTTTTACTCTGTCGGGCATAGAACTATTTACAAAGTGATTTTTTTTTAATAAATTTAAAACTAACGATAAGTAAACAATTAGCCTCCACAATGTAATTTACACTTGTAAGACAAAAATTCAGTTCGGTTACTTGCAGTAATAAAAAAAAATGTATTTTTGCTCGATGTACTCAACCGGTGGGCCTGTAGTACCAGGAACTTGCTATTCAATGGATTTTATTTTTTATGGACATATAACAAAATAATTTGGACTGATCATTTTGAAAAGGTCAGTAATATCGATGTTCAGGTCGATCATTAAAAGTTTTAAAACTGAAAGCCTCAAGCGATTATTTTTAAAAAAATCATTCGTTATTTAACTGAGGAGATTCAGTTTTCTATTTTTCGAAACCTGTGTAAAAGTTAGGGAAAAAAGATGAAAAAATATTACTACTACTACTAGAAGAGCTCATGCTATGACGTTACTTTTTGTGGGCTGAATCTTGTTAAGAAGGTGTGGCTTTGTACAGATTTCGCGCGCTTTTTTACAGTGCATGTGATTGTATGCGTGTGTGTCTATCTTTCAGCTTTGTTGCAATGCTTTCTCTATTTTTACTTCTTCTTTCTTCTTTCCTTCACATTTTTGGAAATCACGCCGGTAAGAAAAAAAAACCCACCAAGTTCGATTAATTTATTTAATAAACTTTTGTTAAAAGTCCTTCATTTATTAAAAATTCATTCGTCTGGATGGTGTGTAAGTGTTGTCACAACTGGAAGAAAAAGCATTTCGATTTTCTTTCATTTTTTTTTGTGTCAACACACAGACAAAAAGACACAGACACATGCACCACCCAGGTTTACGGCTTATATTGTGTAACCAATTTTAATTAGTATTATTAAATTTAGAATTTTGATTTAAGATTTCACCTAATGCGGTTTTAGAAGCACCTCTAACTAAAAAAGTTAATGAAGACTTAATGAATGAATTTATCGAAGGCATTTTATTTATTTTCTTATCTTAGTCTGACACAACGAAGATCGAACTGTGCTGGATTACATGAATTTACCAATCATTGCTTCACAGTGAGACAGACATACACAACAAATTTATTGTAATTATTGAATTTGATGAATTTCTTAATAATGAAAAAATTAGAAATGTCTATTTTAATGTTGTAAAAATACATAATATCCGAATTTTATTGTAAAATGGTTATGAATTTATTTTCCAGTCGCTAAGTAATGTAAAATAGTAATTTTCATCAAATTAATAACACTAACAGCAACAAACACTGACCCCTTTTAAATGTTATTTTGCGTCAGCTGTTATTCGGGATTGAGGGTAGTCATGGCAACCATGAATAAACTTTTTTTGGCTACACTACACCACTTGCTTATAACGGATTTACAATGAATTGTCTTGTCATTTTATTTTTTAATGCCACGTCTCTTCAGGACTTAGACAATCATAGCTCTCCACAGCGTCCCATTTTCTTTATTAATTGTAAATTGTTATGATTTCTTGGGAGTGGTTTGCCGTTACTTCATCCACGGTTTTGAATTAGACTCGTTACTACTCAAGATTAGAGAACTCCATCTACCCTACTATTTAACCCATAACAAGAGGTGAATAAATGGATTCAAGCCTCCGCGAAGGAGAAAGCAAAAAACTACATGAGATTTGAATTCAGTTTGCCGATTAACTGCCACGCACAGCCACGAAGTGTTGTCCAAGGGAGGCAATTCATGTAATATTTCCCTAACAATTTCATTTAAAATGACTTGCACACCAGTTTGCCTGTTGGTGAATCTTTTACAGAAGAAATTTGCTGCACCAAAGAATAGATTGCCGCTAGTAATATTGTCTTGTTTTCACTTTTTTTTATAATTATAATTAGTATAAATTATTAAATATATTTATTTAAATCTTAAAAATAAAATTCAGTTTCTGTGGTGTAAGTGTTGTTATTGTATATTATTAAGTAATAGTTTTACTACTGTTTACTATATTTATTAATCATTATTGTCATTAATCGTAAAGCTTATTACAATCTGAGGACGACCAGTATTTTTAATTTTGAATTGTTTTTATATATATATATATAAACGTGTCGATTTTTGTAGATACCGTTGTTCATACACGACATTATCAGAAAATAAGAACGTTAGTAAATTTAAAAAACCAAAAAGTATCTAAAAGTGTTTGTTTATTCTTTAGGTTGACATACCTCGATAGTCTTTTGAAAAAGAGTCATCGGAGAAATTAATATTAAAATTTAATACAATTTTATTACAAATTACTATATAATTAATTACGAACATCAATACATTATATTATTATAATCGCTAATTTATTTAATAATTAGACATGAGTGACATTTTTTTTATGTTTAATCATTTTTAAGAGGACATAACTTCAAATCTGCAAGAGAAGCGTTCAAGTTTCAAATCGGAACTTTAGTTTTCAACATTATTTTTATTTTTTGTTCTGTAATCGATTATTTCATGTTATTTAATATTCAAATAATTTTAGCAACAGCAAAAAAAAATTAAAAATTAGTTTACTGTATGTGTGACCATATTACTTATTGTTTACTTTTCTGACGACAATATATATATATATATATATATATATATATATATATATATTTATTTATTGTCGTCAGAAATAATATTATATTTTTATTATATGAGATTTTAATAAAAACATTTTTTAAATCGTTACACAAAAGCTTTCCTGTTTCAATATAATGATTGTACTTTCTCAGGCGATGGTAGATAACTGGTGCTAAAATTATTTTTTTAGGGAAATTTAAAAACAAATCATTTCCTAAAGTTCAAGTGGGGAACATAAGGTCAGAAATTAAAATTAGACTATGTCTTGATTAACCAATTAAATGTCAGATCTACACTAAATAAAAAAAATAAGGTCAGAGGGTGAGTTATTTTTTTCATGTCACGATAAACCGGCATATAGACATGTCATCGTTGACGATTGTGGAGAATATGGCAGCGATGTGTGTGTGTGTGTGTGTGTGAGGTCACTCTACAAGTGCCAATGGTACCATGTAATCCTGTACTACCTGCGCATGGTCGGGGTCATCAGTGAGTAAACCGGCTCCCCCACCAGCCTTTTATAGTGAGGAAGATGGCTACACAACTACACATCCCGGCAGGATTCAAAATAAGGCCCCCTGTCAAAGGGTGGAGGAAATGT